GACGTATATAGCAAACTAGCTACTGCTAAGGAGCTATGGAATGCTTTGGACCACAAATATAAAAGCGAGGATGCCGGCGCAAAGAAATTTGTTGTTGGTCGATTCCTTGATTTTAAAATGGTGGATTCGAAGACGGTCTTGAGTCAAGTTGAGGAAATTCAAATGATCTTCAACGAAATTCGAGATGAAGGAATGACAGTTAGTGAGTCTTTCCAAGTGGCGTCAATTATCCATTTATTGCCGCCGGCTTAGAAGGATTTCAAGAACTACCTTAAGCATAAGCGAAAGGAAATGAACTTGGAGCAATTGATCCTCCGTCTGCGGATTGAAGAGGATAACCGGAAGAACGATGGGAAACTCCCAATTGTTCATGGCGCCAAGCCAAACATGGTGGAACATGCAAAAGGCTCCAAAACCAAGAATAATGGGAAGAGCAAGCTCGGTCCCAAGGGAGGCATTTCCAAAACAAAGTTTAATGGAAAATGCTTCAATTGCAACAAGAATGGACACAAGTCCTCGAATTGCAAGGCACCACGGAAGAAGAAAGACTCCCAAGTCAACTTGGTGCAAGGTGGGCAAAAGGATGAAGACATCATCGTAGCGGCTGTGGTTACGGAAGTCAACCTTGTTGGATCCAATTCCAAGGAGTGGTTTGTGGACACCGGTGCAACCCGGCATATTTGCTCAAACCGGGAGTTATTCACAACTTTTGAGCCATCAAATGGTGAGAAAGTGTGGATGGGTAACTCGGCTCATTCTGCGGTTGAAGGCGTGGGCAAGGTGGTCCTGAAGATGACTTCGGGCAAGGAGCTGACTCTAAACCAAGTTTTGTTCGTTCCGGAAATACGCAAAAACCTGATTTCCGGTTCGTTGTTGAACAAACATGGCTTTCGCATGGTTTTTGAGTCGGACAAACTAGTTTTGTCTAAATCGGGAATGTATGTGGGCAAGGGATATGCAGTTGATGGGCTGTTTAAGCTCAATGTAATGACTATTATTAATAATAATAATAATAAAATACCTTCTGCTTACTTGCTTGAGTCTTCTAATGTGTGGCATGGTAGACTAGGACATGTTAATTTTAATTCTATACGTAGATTAATGAACATGGAACACATTCCTAAATTCACAATTGATGTGAAGCACAAATGTGAAGTTTGTGTAGAGGCAAAACTAACGAAAACGTCTTTCAAATCGGTTGAAAGAAAAACGGAACCACTTGAATTAATTCATAGTGACGTTTGTGATTTTAAATCAATACAAACACGTGGCGGTAATAAATATTTTATTACCTTTATCGATGATAGCACTCACTATAGCTACGTTTATTTATTAAAAAATAAACACGAAGCAATCGATAAATTCATTCTTTATAAGAATGAAGTGGAAAACCAACTTAATCGACGGATTAAGACGGTTAGGAGTGATCGAAGTGGTGAGTATGAAGCACCAATTGGTGACTTTTGCGCTAGTGTGGGTATAGTACACGAACGTACCGCACCCTATTCACCTCAATCAAACGGTGTTGTCGAACGAAAGAATCGCACATTGAAAGATATGATGAACGTGATGCTAGTAAGTTCGGGCTTGCCACAAAATATGTGGGGCGAAGCAATCTTGACAAGCAATTACCTTTTAAATAAGGTTCCCCGGAAAAAATATGATAAAACTCCGTACGAGTTGTGGAAAGGCAGACGGCCTTCCTATCAATATTTAAAAGTGTGGGGGTGTCTTGCTAAGGTGCTTGTACCAACACCTAAGAAAATAAAAATAGGTCCAAAAACGGTGGATTGTATTTTCATTGGATATGCACAAAATAGTAGTGCTTATCGGTTTTTAGTGTACGATTCGAATAATCCGGATGTACATAAAAACACAATAATTGAATCAAGGAATGCATAGGAGAGGTCTCGTGTTCGATTCCCAGGCAAACCAGAACTTCCAGCCCAGCCGGTTGTGAGGTTACCCCTGCATAGGAGAGGTCTCGTGTTCGATTCCCACTAGCACCAGTGGTACTATGCTCCCCCAAAAAACCCTTCAAGTGGTAGGGCCAAGCGGTGTATACTAACCCGTAGGGCCAAGCTAAAGTTGGGTTTCTGGGGTAAGGGGCCGTGAAAGCGGTGGAGCTAGTCACTATAAAAAGTTTACCCATATCTTAGTTTTGAAAGAGCTCTCAGTAGTATTCGCGAGTTGGGAATTACTCTGCCTTCTCACTAGAATTTTTCGCACCTCCCAGGTCGGAAACCTCTAGGTTGCTCGCGAATCAAGAACTCTCACGCAAATCTTCGCTCGACTTTTTCTCTACAAGTCGTTGGTTACCTTGTTTCGGAAATTAATTCCCTGCCTATTCCACCGCTTGGACCTCAAGGAATTGATTTTTGGAAAGGGCCAGACGCTTTTGGAAATCCCAGTTCGCAGCGTGCTCTGTTCTTCCCCGCGTTAGCAAGTAAGCTCGGATCCATCTTCTACTGGGTGTTGGTGGAAGACGTAGGCTGTTTGGGGGTGGCCGGCCTCCGGCGCACCTCCCTGAACTATTCCCGGCCGCCGGGAAGACCGCTGTACTGATTTATTGAAAGAGCCGTTTGACGCGGTTACTGTTCACAGCAGCATCTTTGACCGCAGATTTCTTGAATCTCCATCGTTCAAATTGGAATCTGAATATGGATTTGTGTTCATCTAGCTGAGGCGAACCTGAGGACACCTCTCTTGACTGCAATACCGCTAGTTACAGAAAGTGAGCTCGATTTCCAACCTCTATTGGCTGCTCGTGGAAGAAGAAGGTAGATTGGGGGTCGCCGGTCTCTGGCGCACCTCCCCCGCCTGGATTCCGACCACCGCGACGCAGCCGTACTGGAGCTTTGAGTTGCGGCTACTGTTCACAGACGGTGCGTTGACCTCAGATCTCTCCTAAATCTGTCGTTCAATCCCATTTCTGAGGACACCCTGAGGTTCATCTAGTCCAGGCGAATTGTTTGGAACTGGTTTTGAGCAAAACGACCAAGTATTCAGGTTTCCCCTAATTCTTGGAACTGTTCATAGCTCGAAGTTATACTTGGTTTCTGTTTAAACTAACTATACCAGGGGGTTCAGCATATCAAGGAGTACCTGCCAGACTATTTTGAGATTTTTTGGAGCACTTCCAAAAATCTCAACTTTCTGCTTGCTACAGTAAATTTTTTGAGTTAAGGAGCTTCATATCCTGCCTAAATATTATACTCCTAGCTATTCTGTGTCTGGCACTTGTTGGTACTAATCTGCAGGTTATTTTCAAAGGAAGCTGCATATAGTAAGAAATATCAAATTGTTGTTTTCCTTGAGTTCCGTTTGCTGATTTTCAAAGGAAGTGCATTTTGTGCTTGGTTTTTGGTTCCTAACTTTACCAGGTTGCTTAAAATACTAAGGAGGACCCCCAAAAATTGTTTGGGAATTTTTGGAATACTTCCGAAATTCCCGGACCTCACTGGTTGCTACAGTACACAAAGTGTGCTAGGAGTGTCTACTTTATTTTGTGCTTATCCGTTGGTGCAACTGGGTATACCTAGGGACTTGCCATACTTTGGGATACTTCCTAGAGTACTTTGAGAATTTTTCAAGTACACCTTGCCCAAGGTACGAACCAAACTTTTGCACTCCCAAGTCTTTGGTGTTTGTTGTTGTGTGTGCTAACTCTTGCAGGTCGATTAGCCAAGCTCTTGTACAAGGAATGTGTATTGTCCAATGACTAGGCACAATAAACAATCTCGTACACCGCCATCTAAAGACTCGGCTTTTGATGACAAAATAAGGAAGTTGAATGCAAGAAAAGCCGAGATGGAGGCTAACAAGAAAGAAGTGGAGAATAGTGAGAAGGAAGTAACATCCAAGAAAGCTAAAATTGCTCCCAAGCTAACGGTGGAAACTGCACCTATAACAAAGGAGATCAATTTACATGAGGCCAATGCTACTAAGGAGCCACAAGTGATGGAGGATGTTTTCCTCAAAGCTATGGTGGAGGATTCCTCCTCGGGGGTGTCCAAACCGGTGGAGGCTACGCATATTGATCCTACTTTTGAGAAGTCCATCAAAGTAGGGTCTATTGAATTCTCCTTCAAGCAAATTCAAGAGGAGCAAAGGATGGAAAATACAAAAATTGATGACCTTGTGGAAGATGAGAATGATGTGGAAACGGGAAGTGTTGATTCCCTATTTGAGGTTGGAAACAAAGAAAAGAAAGAAGAGCCAAAGAAGAATGCTTGGAATCAATTATTCCAAAACAACCGGTCCATTGAGCATGGCATGAAGTTGGAATATATCCCTCCAAAAGGTGAAAAGGTAGATTTCTCTCATAGAAAACTCCCTACTATTATTGATATTTGGGGGTATTGCTTGGTGGGGTTTGTTTCAGGTAGATTTCCGGGCATGCGAGCATTCCATGATCTATCCATCAAACGGGGAGTCCCATGCAAGCTCAAGCAACATGACAAAGGGTGGGTGATCTTCCAATTTCAAAGTGAGAATGACCGTAACAAAGTCATGGCCGAAGGGCCCTATGCCCTTTATGGTAAGGCCGTGTTCTTAAGGATATTATCCGAGGACTTTGACTTTGATGGTGAGGAATTTTTAAAAGTCCCAATATGGGTTAAATTCCCCGGCCTATCGGTTACACTTTGGAACAAACAAGAGATGAGTGAGCTTGCCTCTAGAGTTGGAGTTCCTATTGTAGCGGACAAGGTGACTCAAGAAAAATCGAGGTCTCAATTTGCTAGGGTATTGGTGGAGGTTGACCTCACTAGGCCGCCTACTATGTCCATCCCGATTATACAACCATCCGGTAAGGAAAGGAATCAATATGTCATATATGAAACTTTTCCTAACTATTGTTTTGAGTGCAAGGTTTATGGACATCACCCCTTTACATGCAAAGTGTTAAACAAGGAGTTGGTAGAGAATGAGGATGCAAAAGCTACCAACAACATTGTAAGTGTAGCCAATACCGCGGCTAACAACTCAAAAGAAGGGGGTTCCAACCAACCCGGTGACATTGCGAAGGGAAAAAAAGGCTTCAACGTGAGTGGAAAGAAATCAAAGGATGATGGCAAAGGGAAGGAAATTTGGGTTGAAAAGAAAAAGAATGATGTGCAAGAGAATGGGGAGTGGGTGGAGGCCAAGAAGAAAAAGAAATGGGTCTCTAAACCCAAAGCAAATGTGCGCAACTTGATCACGCCAAAGGTTCCCACTCCTAAGGCGCCTACAACTAATGCCGCTGCCTCAACTTCTACACCTAAGGCCACGACCCCTGCTGCCCAGGCCCCAAAACAGGCTGCCCAGGCCCCAAAACAGGCTGCCCAGGCCCCAAAACAGGCTGCCAGTGCCCAAAAACAAACTGCCGAGGCAGTAAAAGTTGCACCGAAGCTCACCGTTCCTAAACAAACTGCCGAGACTTCACAGGCATCTTCCGGGAGCAAATCAAGTGAAAAGACTATCAATTTTCCGAAGAGTGGGAACATTAGCTTTGATGAATTGGGGGGTGAGATCATTCGCAATGTATATGATATCCAAGAGGGAGATGTGGTCACTAGAATCGTTTATGATGATAACAAAAAGAAGACCATATATGTAATGCAAAAGAAGGACATCCCATCGCATCACCAAATCAAGAGGCTTGGACCGGAACTACAAAAAGTGAGGGATGACGAGGGAGGAATCTCATTCACGGATGAATGCCTTCGAAATCTTCCGGGAGTGACACCGCATTATGAATGGTATAAATTTAATCATAGCATTTTTTATACTTATGTGGCTTCTTTCTTTGATGTAACAACTAGGGAAAACAAGAAGTATTTCAAGGAGGCAATGAGGAGATTTGAAGCAATCAAAAAAATGAAGGAAGGGGCGAATAAGGAGGGCTGCCAATCCTCTAACGAATCGGTCTCGGATGAATTTTAAAGCAATAGTATGGAATGTGAGAGGTTTGAAAAAACCCTCCAAACACTCTACTATTTTAAATTTAGTTAAATTTCACCAAGCAAGCTTATGTTGTTTCTTAGAAACCAAAATGACAAAAATAAATATTTTTAATTTTGTTTCTAATAAATGGCCCGGTTGGTCTTTTGAAACAAACCATGATTTTATTGATGGGGGGCGAATTTTAGTGTGTTGGAATCCTAATTTAATATCATGCAATTTGATTGAAATGGGGGAACAATATATGCATTTTAAATGTCTATGCCGCACTTCGCAAACTGTTTTCTTTGCTACCTTTGTATACTCACTTTATACAGTCTTGAGGCGCAAGGCATTGTGGGAATACTTGGCTCTTCTTGGGGATCAAATCAAAGACCCGTGGATTATAGCCGGTGATTTTAATTGTGTTTGTTCTCCTAGTGAGAGGGTGGGTTCGAATGCACCCTCGGGTTATTTTTTAAGAGATTTGATTGAGTTTAAAATCCGTGCTAGCCTCCAAGATGCCCCCTCCACGGGAGAATTCTATACTTGGAATAAGGGATCTTTGTGGGCTAAGCTTGATCGGGTTTTGCTCAATAATACATGGGATCACCTAGGGATCAAGTGTAAGGCCCATTTCAATGAAATGGAGGTTGAGTTTGATCACACGGCTACCGTGATATCTATACTCAATAATACCTCTCTTAGGCCCAAATCTTTTAAATTTTTTAACATGTGGATTCAACACGATGCTTTCACTAACATACTTATGCAGAGTTGGAATGTGAATATCAATGGAACGGCTCAATTTCAAATTGCTAAGAAACTTAAGTTGCTAAAACAGCCGCTTAAGAATCTTAACAAATTGGAATTTGGCCACATCTCTATGAAGACAAAGAGTGCAAAAGATGAATTCAAAAGGCTAAACAAGTTGATGCTTGACTCACCCGATGATGCCGAGCTTAAAGAGCGAGTAAAGGTGGCGAGAAAGAGAGCTACTTTCCTTAGTGAGGCCGAGTGTAGCTTCTTCCAACAACGAGCTAAAGCTAAGCATATCCTTGAGGCCGATAAGGGAACAAAATACTTCCACGCAATCGTCAAGAGGAACATGGCTAGGAATACCATAACCTCCATTACGATGGATGATGGTAACCTCACTACGTCCATTGATCATGTTGGAAATGAATTTGTAAAATTTTTTGTTGATCTTTTTGGCACCGAGATGGAAACCTTTTCCATTGACCAAACGGTACTAGGAACCGGCCCCTTGATTGAACCAAGTGTTCATGATAGCCTATTATCTCCGATAACTAGCAAAGAAATTAAAGATGCTTTGTTTGATATCGGGGATGACAAGGCACCGGGGCCGGACGGTTATTCCTCGGCATTTTTTAAGAAAAATTGGAATATTGTGGGGGAGGATGTGATCCGGTCGACTAAGGAGTTCTTTAACTCGGGAAGGTTGCTTAAACAGTTAAATCATACTGTTATAGCACTTATTCCTAAAACTAGTCACTCCCCTAGGGTCTCGGATTATAGGCCTATTTCATGTACTAATGTGCTTTACAAGATTATTACAAAAATTATTGCGGCAAGAATGATCCCGACCCTTGCGGGTTTGATTAACAAGGCACAAGGTGCATTTGTGGATGGCCGCCTAATGTTTGATAACATTTTCCTTGCCCAGGAACTTGTTAGAGGATACAATAGGAAGCGAATTTCACCTCGTTGTATGATAATGGTGGATTTGCGAAAGGCCTATGATACTATCTCGTGGGACTTTCTTGCCAATGTACTTAGGGGTTTGGGCTACCCCGATAGATTTGTGGGATGGATTATGGAGTGTGTTTCTACCGCTTCTTTTTCTGTCTCTTTGAATGGTACATTACATGGTTTCTTTAATGGTAAGCGTGGCATTAGGCAAGGGGATCCAATGTCCCCTTTGCTCTTCGTTGTATGCCTTGAATATTTCTCGCGCCTCCTTACTATCAAAAGCATGGATTCGAGGTTTAATCACCACCCGCTATGTGGCTCTTTGGGAATAACTCACTTGGCCTATGCGGATGATCTCATGCTCTTCTCGAGAGGAGACAAATATTCCATTGGAGTATTGGTCGATGCTCTTAAAGAGTTTGGAGAAGTCTCAGGCCTTAGGGTTAACCATAATAAATCCAATATTTTCGTGGGAGGGGTTCATGGGCTGGACTTACAAAACATTTTGGACCTCGTTGATTATGGTCGTGGAGTATTCCCGGTGAGATACCTTGGAATCCCACTAGCACCGCTAAGAATCTCCGTGGCACAATATGCCCCCCTTCTTGATACGATAAACGATTTTCTAAACGCATGGAACACAAAGACGATCTCCTATGCCGGTAAACTAGAGCTAATACGATCTGTGATCCAAGGGGTCCAGTCGTTTTGGCTCCAAGTTTTCCCGATTCCCCAAACTATTTTGGATAGGATAGTATCGATCTGTCGAATATTTTTATGGGGTGGTAAATTTTCGAAAGTAGCTTGGGAAGACATTTGTCTCCCAAAAGAGGAAGGAGGACTTGGCATTCATAATGCTAAGGTATGGAATCACGCCCTCCTCTCTCGTACTTTATGGGATGTCCATATGAAGAAGGACACCCTTTGGGTCAAATGGGTGAACGGTGTATACCTTCAAGGTAGAACCGTGTGGGATTTTATCCCACACACCCGGGACTCACAGCTCATGAAGCGGTTGAGTCTCATCCGTGATAAGATCCGAGGGTGCTTCAATAATCTCAATGACACTATCATGGGCCTTGCCTCGAGAGCCTCGAATGGTAAATTAGCCTCCGCAAAAGTTTACGATCTCATAAGGGTCAAGGGAGAAGCTAGGACTCCTATGAGTTTCATATGGAAATCCTACATTCCCCCCAAACTCTCATTTAATGCATGGCTGGCCCTAAGAAACCGACTACCTACACAAGATAGCCTCGGGTATCTTTATATCGTGAACCGCTGTGATCTATGTAAGGGTGGTTTGGAAACAATACCACACCTTTTCTTTCTTTGCCCCTTTACTTGTAGGGTGTGGCATCACGTAAGGAGCTGGATGGGACTAAGACATGAGATGTCTACCTTGCTAAGTTCAATCAAATGGATCAAGAAGACCCATAAAGGATCAACGTTGAAGGCCAAAGCAGCCCGCATTGCTTTCTGTGCAACGGTGTACTACATTTGGCATGCTAGGAATGAGTGCAGATTTGATGGAAAGATGAAGAAGGAGGAAGAGGTTGTTGCTAAGGTCAAACATGTGGTGTATAAGGTACTCTACAACATATACCCACATGAGTTGATCACATTTTGATAAGAACGATGAAAGCCGTTTGTATAGCCTCGGTTTTGATAGGCTAAGTGCGTGCACTAAGGCGCAGTCCTGTTTTGTTTCTTTTTGATTTCCTATGCCGCGGCATAGGTGAGCCTTATGGCTATCTTTGGTGATGTCCGTTTTGAAGTGAAAGCTCCTTCCAACCCTCTCCTGTCACAGGAAGGGGTGGGGGGGAGCTTTAAATTTTGTAAACTTTACTTTGGGTAATAATATATTTACATTTTATCCAAAAAAAAAAGAAAAACACAGACAAAATGCTGCCTTCTTTTTAACGAATTGCTTGTGTGCACAGGCAAAATAGGGGGTGTATACAAAAGTAGGTATAAAAGTGAGTACAAACAGTTTTTTTGTTTTCTATAGCGCAGAGTCTGTTGTTGTCGAAAAGAAAAGGGATTTGCTTCGTATTTTTTGCGGAGAGTTGCTGCTACGTGTACCTACGTGCTCTTTAATGACCACGTCACGGGAAAAAATTGCATTAAATGGTCATTTTGGGGCAATTATTTGAGTGGGGTCCACTTCCGATTTGGGTCGGGTCAAAGTGGTTTCGGATTGTCCTTGTTAAGGGCTACAATTCGATATGTGGTACACTCAAAACGTATAACGGGTGAATGAGAAATTGATTCTCGAAGTTCACTCGTTGAAATGGAAAAACTGGGAAAAATGATGAGTTTCTAGTGTGTTTTATCCCACACCGAAAAACTCAAGGGATTTTCACCCCCTTATAAAGGGAAGCCTCTTTTAAGGAGTTAAGATTCCTAAAGGGAAAGGCTCTCTCTTACGCGCTGGGGGGTGCCGATCAAATCCCGAAACGGAGAAGAAAAACCGCGACTCGTGTGCGCGGGCGACCTGCGGACACGAATGCCGTCAAAAAATCTATCTCTCAAGAGATACGGTTAATTTTTGTTTTCTTCCCGAAACGTTTATTTTTTCCCAGAAGTGCTCCGGACAGAAGGCCTAAACCCTCCAAGAGGTGTTCTGTTGGCTTCGGACAGAAACCCTCCAAGGGGGTTCTGCTGGCTTCAGACAGAAACCCTCCAAGGGGTGTTCTGTTGGCTTCGGACAGAAACCCTCCAAGGGGTGTTCTGCTGGCTTCGGACAGAAACCCTCCAAGGGGTGTTCTATTGGGGTCTTCTGTCGCGCATTTCTTCCGTTACAACAATTAATGCCCAACGTTCTTCTCTTTTAATGCTGCGTTAAATGGATAGTTTATGGACGATTCAATGCCCAACGGACTGGTCATTGATGTCCAACATTCAGGTCCATTAACACCCCATTTAACACACAACAAATCCTCCTATAAATAGCTGGCAGGTGCTTTGCAACAAACACACGGTTTGACA